AAGGAACCTTGACTTCATGAGATTTTTAACCATTTCCTTGTAAGACTTGTCTCTTATAGACTGCTGTAAATAGCTTTCAGTGCTCAAAGACCCCTTTTATTCCATTTGATTACTATTGCCAAGCATTTTGGTCATCTCTTCTTCCCTGTCCCATAAACAGAGCTTTAGCCTTGAGAAGAAGGATGTTCAGAGAATTTGTGCTTTTTTTCTCTTTTCCTAACTGCTCAGAAATGAAAGTAACGGATGTTTGTAAAATCCTTTCAGAAAATAGGATTTCTATGTTGGGGTTTTTTTTTTAATTTACTTGTATGTATAGTTTTTTTCTGTTTTACATCTTTAGGAAAATAGGAGGACAGAATTGCAGGTTTCTAATTTTACCAAATGAGATCTGGTTTCTTTCTGAAGCTAAAAACTAAAATATCATAAAGAAAGCTTAAATATGTATATGAAAATTACTTGGAAAATTATTGTTAGATAGGGTGAAACAATTAACAAGAACAGAAGATAATATTACAGTCACAGCCTGTGTAAGAGAATTTATGTACTAAGAGTTGTTACTACATCAGGACCTTGGTGTGGATTTGCCACTTGTGTGTAGAAGAGGGTGGCTTTAGTGGGGCTTCTCTGTCATCTTCGGTTTTATTTTGTCATCAAAGTCTGAGGAAAAACTGACATTTTGAATATCTGTGGTCCTGATTTAGGTAGAAATCTGAATTCTCATGTTGAGAATGGAGAATTGCTGTAATTGTTTAACAAGTGCTCCTCAGTTTGCCATTTGCAAAACCTTCAGTGCTTAGAGATTTTTCTCAAGTAGGAATACACAGAGGCCATTAGGGAGGTAGGCATCCTGCAAGCCTGGGTGTGTAAAGATCTCTTAGAAGTCATGCTTGCATGGTGATGACAGGAGCATGAGAGGTGTCCTAGTTCCATCCAGGACAGGGTTAGTTTTTGCAATAGCCAGGAGGGGGCATGGCCAGGACCTGGATGTTATTCTATACCACCTCACCTCATTGCCAGGGTTGAGGGGAAGGGAGTCTCCTCTGGGGAGAAGGGGTTCTTTCTGGTCAAGCATGGCAGAGGGAGCAATGGGATAATGCTGGTTCCAAGCTGGAGTGAGTGTGGGGGGGCAATAATGTTTCTTTTCTTGTTCCCTCTGTCATTAGTATTGTTGCTGTCACTTATCTCATTGCTGTTTCCAGTAAATTATTCTTATCTCAAACAAATTGCTCTTATCTTTACCTTTTGTGCCTCCAATTCTCCTCTCCAGCCAGCTTCATGGGAGGGGGAGGGAGAAAGGGGGAAGGGGGTAGCAAGTAAGTGGCAGCATGGTTTGGAGAGTCTCACTGGGAGCACTAAACTGGGGAGTACCCTTCCTAAACCATGACAAGAGGGTATGCTATGTTCCCTGCTTTGTAGAATATTCTCTGAAACTTTGGTCTCTGCTGCATTTATGTGGGTTTTGTTTTTTAACCAGCCCAAAGCTACTGAAACTTACAAAATGTGTTGTCTGAGAAAGTATTAACTTGCTACCTTTCTGTTGGCTGTTTAAATAGACTTTTGTGTGAATATGAAAGCATGGCTTTATTTTCTCACAGTTCTGAACAAAGCCAAGACCAGTCTTTATAGATCACTTCCAGTTTGCAGTACAGTTAAGATCTGAAGCTGGTTAGCAGAGTGTGACAGGTCTTTTGCCTTGGGTATATACTTCCCTATGCCAACTATTTTAATAGCTTAGAATTGTTTTTCAGCACATTAGGAGACCAGTGACATCTGTAATCAGATTCTTAGTCCCAGTCATGCTTTTGTGTTAGGTTTGTCATCCAGTTGAAGTTTATGTTTCAGAGAAGCCTTCAAAATTACATTTGTAGCAATAAGCCTTCAAATGTGGCTGTAAGAGGATTTTTGATCAGTTAAATATTGAAAAGCTTTATAGAAATTGAATTTTTGCAGAATGAATTCTTTGAAAGCAGGGAGGCACAAAACACCATCAGGTTTTGAAAGCCCTGTTATAATACTGTTTGCTTCTGGATGTTCTGGAGTGGTCTTGGAAGCTAGTACACACAAGTGTTTCTTAGATATTGTTATATCCTGCAGCAACTGTGATATAGATAAGGCCTTTGATATAAAATGCACAGAGCCTTATTTAAATTTGATCTGCACAATTATTCCAGAACATCTTGTTTTGACAGGTTATTAATTTATGTTGTTGTCTTCTCCACCATCTCCACCCTGAGAAAATTTGGACCCTTAGAGGGATGTTTTGTAGCCTTTTATTTGACTTTTCACTGTAGCTTTCTGAATAGGTCATTCTTATGTTTTTGTTTGGTTGTTGTTCTATTGAGAGATGGATGTTACTGTCTCCCTACAAAGGAAAACAAAAATTGTAGAAACATCCAAATACTATTCAGATCTTGATTTCCTTTTTGAGTTTTCTTGCTTTCTTAAAGAAACTGTATTATAGTAACCTTAAATCATAGATGTAGGACTTGCTTTTTTGCATCAGTGCTTTGTAACCCTAGGAAGAAGACTATGACTCTACCTCAATTCAACCTTGAAAAGGATTGGCAGAAAAAAACTGAACAAAAGGAATTAAAACAGAATAGGATTTTTCTGTTTTAAGAAAGGCTTCTTAAAAGGCCTACTGGGGAAGTTTAGGAGGCCCACTTAGTAAAAGAAGAGGACTCAGTCACTGTGAAACTTTTTAGAATTTTAGACCTTTTGGATCTTAATCATCTTCCTCAATTTAGATGCAGCATTGATGTGTTTATTAATTCCATACAACAACTTTGAGAGTATCTGCTTGGAATTTGAGAGACTGCAAGATGGATTGGGCTAAACTTGAACTCCTTCTGGTACTTCCAGAAATTTGACAAGTCTTATAATTGAGAGAGGGTAAGGATTAAACAGTTCATGCAGTGTATTTTCCATGATTTGCTACTTTGCTGGAAGATAGATATATTTTTTCAAATGGAACTTACTGATGTTCCAGCAATATGCTTTTGTATTCTGTCTTTGAAGGCTTCACTTGTATTTACTTCATATGAAGAAATAAACTAATTGTGTAAAGAGTATAAATTTTGACTAGGGAATACATTTTTTTAAAGCAAATTTTGGTTTTGATCAAGATTATAAAGTTTGCATATTGTGCTTTCTGATGTATCTGTTGGTGTACTTTCTAAGGGAAAAGCAAATTACCCAACATACGTACTTTTAATTTCCTTCTTTATTCTAGTCTAATATTGAATTCCTCCTACCTCCTCCAGTGTTATCCTGTACCACACTATGCCAAACTAAGGCAGATGATAAAAAGGATTTTTGTTTCATTAGTGAACAAAGACCTAACAATTAAAAGAACTCTCAAGAACTGTTTTTATCTTAATATGATTTAACAAAATTTCTTTTGTGAAGGCCTAAGAAAGAGTATCAGTTAATATGGGCTAATATCCAAAAGACCCACTAAAAAATGCCTGGGCTTATTATCATAGAATACCCCGAGTTGGAAGGGACCCACAACGATCATCAAAGTCCAACTCCCGGCTCTGCACAGGACATCCCCATGAATCACACCATGTGCCTGAGAGCATTGTCCAAATGCTTCTTGAACTCAGACAGGCTTGGTGCTGTGACCACTGCCCTGGGGAGCCTGTTTTAGTACCCAACCACCCTCTGCGAGAAGAACCTTTTCCTAATATCCAACCTAAACCTCCCCTGACACAACTTCATGCTGTTCCCTCAGGTCCTGTCACTGGTCAACACAGAGAAGAGATCAGTGTCTGCCCCTCCTCTTCCCCTTGTGAGGAAGTTGTAGACTGCAATGAGGTCTCCCTTCAGTCTCCTTCAGGATGAACAGGTCAAGTGACCTCAGTCGCTCCTCATACGGCTTCCCCTCAAGGCCCTTCACCATCTTTGTAGCCCTCCTTTGGACACTTTGACTTTCTTAAACAAGGTTTATTTGGAGGATAAAAGATAAACTATAAATTATTTACAAATATGTTGTGCAAAGGTGGTATTTACAATAGTAATGTAATTTTGTTTAGCAAGATTCATAAAGAAACTCAGCCTTGGTAATTTGGGATTTTGGCTTCTGTAAGTTTCCATTAAAAAGGAGAAGGGGCTATACTATGCATTTTTAAGTGACAAGGTGTTACCACCCACCCCAGAAAGGAGGGGGAACCCAGGTTCTTTTTAATAAATCCCTTGGGGTGGATTAGAGTGAAATGACACTGAATAATTGGTGTTTGAAAACATATATGTAGGGTTTATTTTAGAACAATTTTGTTTCAAAGGTAAACAGGTATGTTGCCATTTTGAGTGTTATCATCTATATCTATCATCTATAGCAATATGGTATAAAGAAAACCTTTAGGGAAAATGCATAAGGGAGAGAAAGGAAAAGACAGGATAAGGGTAAGGGAGAGTAAGGGAAAGATGAGAGCGGATAAATGTATATAGTCAACATCCACGAGGTCCAGTGATGAAACTTGGTAGTTGCAGCTTCCATGTCTGTCAGTTGAAGTGGTGGTCTTGTTCCATTAGGGATGAAGGAGGGAAGCCTACACACTCAAAGAAGTTATGAGTGATTATATCCATGGATAGTGTCACAGGCCATGCTGTGAGCCTCCAACGTCTCCTGGGCCTGAGCAGAATTCCTGTGAGGGGCATGGTAAAAGGGTTTTTCCCCACCTTTCAGGATTGGCAGGGGCATGGGCTTTGATGGGCCAACAGCCGCCTCTTCCCAGCCCGCAAAAGTCCCCTGGCAATCCTAGAATGGGTAAATCATTAACCATTTCAGTCTCTGACACTGGGTAATTTAGTAAATTTGTAAATTTTTAAAAAATTAGTAAATTTTTAAGTAGGCAAATTATTAAATTTCTATACTTGTTTTTTGTGTAACTTTTCCAGGAAATCTAAAACTTTTTCAATTAAGAAATAATAGTTGAAAATATATGTATACATTTATTCAATATGGCTAATTGGTTTTTTTAACTTTTATCTTGCAGCAATGCACCTCTTACTTTTTCCTCCAAAGTATGTTATATTAAGTTTCGTGAAGCATCAAGTGTTGGTGTGGCCCAGCATCTAACAAACACAGTTTTTATTGACAGAGCTTTGATAGTTGTGCCCTGTGCAGAAGGTTGGTATTTTATATGTTCTTCTGTAATGTTGGTCTTTGTCCTGTCTGCTAATTGTTTTAAGCTTTTTTGTAAGGAGACAGTGCTCTGTTGTTATTTTATTTTATTTCTGTAAAAAAAAACCTTGAAACAAAATTGAAAATTGAACAAAGAAACACAATTGTATAGATTAAATTGAAATCCAGCATTAGAAAAAAAAGAGTTGATTTAAATTAGGATAATTCAATTTTCCACAGTTATTACATAGATTTTGGAAAAAGAAGGTAAAATAATACCCTTAACATGGTTTGTGTTGGCAAGCTTATTCCCACACAAAGTTCTATCTGAAGTCAATGGAGCACTGAAAAGATAAAACAGTTTCCTGGCACTGTGATAACACTGCAGTTTGGATCTTAATGTGTCGCCCTTGGTATGGTGTTTTGGATTTGTTTTTTTTTTTTTTTTTTTTTTTTTTTTTTTTTTTTTTTTTTTTTTTTTTTTTTTTTTTTTTTTTTTTTTTTTTTTTTTTTTTAAATACTAATTATTTTTCAATTTTTTAAGACCAAATCCCATTTTTTTTTGTAGATATGTGATATATGCATTTGACCATTTTTGATTTATTTAATCTTAAATATTTTGCATTTGTGGTGATAATTGCTGTTTGCATATAAATATTTACTTTTAAAAGTGCAAGAGTCAAGTTTTGGTTCAAAAAATACTGTTGACTTCTTGGAGTTTAACAGTGGTCCCAGAGTGCCATTTTTTGGCATGTTTGCCACATCATGATCTGGATAGTATGAGATTAGTGCTGCTGTAATGATACTCTGGGGTGTTCCTAGCAAACTCTGACAAGTCTCCAAAATTTCATAGACTTTAGGATGACCTACAATATACTGTCTATTCTTGTAGCCTTGTTACCATGGGCATATTAACAAGTCTTTTTGAAGCCTAGAGTTCTAGTTGCTTTTATGCTTTGTTTTGGAGGGGGTTTGGTTTTATTTTGGGACTTGTTCTTAAGGATATTGCTGTATCCACTTGAAGCTTTGTAGAGGCTTTGGGTAGGCAAAATGTATCAGGACAGAGTCCTGGCAAGAGGCAGGTAAAGCTACATTTTCCTGTGTCTCTGTGTCTCTTGATGGTAGACAATGAGTGGAAGGAGGATAAAATCAAAGTTCTGAGAAATCTTGTTCCAGACCTGTTTGTAGCTGACTTATTAGGCATTTCTCAGAAAATGTATTACAGAAAAATTGTCACTGTTCTAGACCATTCTGGACCCCACAGAGATTTATACATAATTAGGTGAACAAGTGATTGGGTTGTGAGGTCAAATTTTTTTTCAAGTCAGAATGCAGTCTCCATGTAACTTTCTAACAGAATCACTACTTTTAACTTGTAAAGATATGAATTCATATAGGTTTAACTTTCTGAAAACTTTATTCTGTGGGATAAGCATGGCTTTCAAGACCTTAGTGCAACATTTTTTATTCACTATATGTAGTTGTTAACGGAGTCAGTAGAGTGTATCATGGGCTTTAAAAGTAACAATGGCTATATATTCTACTGGAAGATTAAATTATATCCATGGCCGACAGTGCCAGCAATAAAACCTTTCATGTGCTGAATCAAACATATAGGAGGGGAAAAATACAACTCTGAAAACTTGGTTTTAAAAACCATTAAAATCTGAAATTTGGAGTGTATTTAAACAGTGCTAAATTAAAAGTATGAGGAAGGAATCACTACACCATAAAAACAATGTTAATCTTGTGACAATAAACAATTTAACAAAAATATAATTGTAAATGCATTAACATTATCATGTTGTCAAAAGATAACTTTTTTTGTGTGTGTATCATTAGGTTTTTCTTTAAACAGTATACTTAGAGAACACAAAGGTTGAAAGATAAACAAAGATACCACCCTAATAATTCTAAATTTTATGTCCACGTTGTCTAGTAGATGGATTTTGACTATTAATTTGGTTTTGTATGTTTTCTCTGTGTGATATTGGTGCATTATTAGATGACTAGACTGGCCAAGGCAGACCTGTTACACTTGCCTGAGTTAGGCATTGTTTGCCATGCCACTAAACCTGACGCCAAGTGAAATCTTCATGGGGAAAATGAGATCGAAGTCTGACCTGCTGAAGATGGATGCCCTGTGTCTGTTTTTATTTTATTTTGCTTTCATTCCTTTGTTTATTTTATTTTCATTTTTTCCCTTTTGTTTTGTTCTGTTAAATCTCTTACTCTTGTACTTGTGAACTGGTAATTCAGTTCTGAAAAAATGATGTTTTGTAAAGGGTTCACAGTGTTTCATTTTGAAGTTGACCTGAAGCTGCTTGTGGATGGTATACACAGAATTTAGGATATGATTAAGTTTTATGCTGTGAATTATGGATAAATTTGTCTTGGAATACATTTAAACATCTAAATTCAACAGATGAGCACATTGTTTCAGACTGGAATAGGGAAAAATATATCAGTTTTAAGATGCGTTCTTTCATATGTTATGCTTTGTGAGCTTATCTTGGAAAAGTTGAAACTTTCTGGAGAAATTAAGTTTACAAAGTAAAATCTTGATTTTTCTCTGCTATTTTTCTTCTCAGCAGAGTACTTTTAGGTTGCATGATCTGTTTAAAAGAAGGCCTTCTCTTTATATCTAATATGAAGAGTTTAAAATAATTATTTCTGATATTGAACTTTCATGAGTACTGAATGTTATGAAATATTTGTCTGCTTCTGATGAAACCTTCCTCCAGTGAGGTCAGTGGCAGTAAGATTTCATCCTTTTGTTTTTGTAATTTTTATAAAAAACTGTTTACCACTCATAAGTACAAATGCAGCCTGAGATTTTGGTTGGAATGTGTTGTGAGGCACATTGTCGTTCAACACTGTTATTCATGGGAAGATTGAAAATTGTGTGTGTGTGTATGTATGTGTGTATTGCACTTTTACACACTCATTATTTCAGTGGTCATTATTTCAAGAAGAGTTTAAAAAAAAGTATCATCTCACAATCTCAGAAGGCCTGGCAGTCCATGCTGGAGTGGTTGGGAAGGTTCTCATCCCTAAATGATGTTTGTTCTTGTGAAATGGAAGCCCTGAAACAGAAGTGCTGGACCAGGTGGTGTGTCTGGTCTTCGGGCATTGCTCTTCCCAGCCAGTTGCATTGGGACCAATTGGCTTCACTCTTGTAATGCACCAGGCTGTGAAATGCAGCTGGGAAGAGCTTCGTGATCTCTGTTGGATTTAGCTGTGCCAGTTGAGGTAATTACCAGTAATCTCTTTAATCTCTGCTGCTAAATCCAATAAGAATCATGAATTGAATCACACATTTTATTTGTAAGTGTGCATTTTTCATTGATTTAAAATAATAGAAAAACAACAATTCCTTTTCTTTCAAGTAGATGTGAGAAGAAAGTATTTTAAAAAGAAACATTGGTATTTTCAAAGCAGTTTTGAGGGGAAGGGAGGATTAACCATGTAGTTTCAGTATAAAGAGTAAGAAATTAATTTCTGAGCACATGGAGAATGATAAAAATACTGTGATTAGTACCTGCTTAACACAGGTAGTTCTGTTCAGTATTTAGCAAAATGGATTCTAGTATGGAGTAGGTTGACTAGGACTCTTAAGTACTTAGGAAATCTGTATATTTCTGAAGAAACCTAAGGTATCTCTGGTTAATACAGAGCTAATCTACATTTGCTTCCAGATTTCATTGCATAAGTGAAGAATAAATAAATAAATAAATGAACATAGAATCTGTAATTTATTAAACACTCATAAGCTTCAAAGAAATATTTCTAAGGATGTGGTATAGATGTGGCATATTTATTTTGTCTGTTTCCCTTATTAGAAATATCTTTGCCTCATTTCCATTCAGCTTTTAAATACCATGAGTTTAAAAACCAAAACAGTTATGCTTAAACTAATGTGTCCTAATTTGTTATGTCATTATCCTCATATTTTGTTGTATTTTGTGGGCTTGTATCCCTTTTATAAATAAATAAATGGAGATAACACTCCAAAACTTAAAGGCTATAACTCGTGAGGTTATTTGGCCTTACATATTAATTTGTTTTTCAAAACTATCTAAAGAACAGGGAAGTAAATTTGCAAGATATTTCAGGTTTTCTTTTTTTTTTTCCACAACAGTTTATTTTCTAGAGAATTGTTAAAAGGTATGACCTGATCTTAAAACCTTAAAATCTAGAAGGGGGATCTTTTGAAAAGACAGCATCTCTGAAAATTCAGGCCAATTTTCAGAGCTTTGTCTGTAGAAATAGACTTTTCTTCATTTTTGAATAAAATAAATAAACAGATCTTTGTGTCATGGAACTGACCAACTAGATTTTGTATTTAAAATTAAACATTACATTCTTGAGGGACCAAAGTATTCTGGAAATAATGCTGCTAACTTCATAATTTATATATGTATGTTATTGCTTTTCTGAACTATAATAGTTTATTTAACTGAAATTGTTCAATTGATTCCTTCAGAAATGTTTGAGCAAATGAATAACTCAAATTATTTCAGTAAGATGAGCCATATGCTTAAAGTTTAGAGTTGTATTTAAGTACTTTTCTGAACTTGACTCCCTGTCTGTTTAGTTATATGCATAACTCAGTTCCTATTTAAAAGGTCTAAATGTCTTAAGCATCTCTTAGGTTTATCTGGTTAAGTGTGTATTGAATTGGATGTTTGTAAGTGCATACTTGAATTAGGCATATGTACACTATTGATCAAGGATCTAAATTAGGATGCAGATGTACTACTTTAGGTGCCATTTCTGCCATTGAATTTATTTCAGCCATGTCTTGATCCTGTAGAAACCTATATGAGTATCCAGTTAATTGCAAGATGCTGGCTCAGCAATCATTTGGAAATACTTAAGTATTTTGTTTTTCAGAAGAACTGGTATATAATTGTATGCCTAATTTGCACATACAGTTGTTGGAACTGTATATTTGGAAACCTGTTAGTTAGCTTCATAGTAGACAGGATATGAGGCAAGGTACC